CTTTGTGTAAAATGGCTTGACTATTATAACTGTTTTTCTCCAGGTAAGACAAATAAAATAATAATATTAATACAATGGTTGCTTCTCTGGGAGGAAGTAAAGACTAACTCTTATTGTTATGTTCAGAATTGTTTAGAGTAAAGAAGGGATACTGTGCATTAGTTAAAACAAACATTTGTGTCCATTATATTGCCAGATTTAGTCACACAAGCTAAACCAGGGGTCTCCAACAGGTAGCTCGCGGGCAGGTTTTCAGTAGCTCACTTATAGGTTGACCGACTGTGTTAAAAATAAAAATCTGACGACGGAAAATGCACCTCTTCCACTATTCAAATATTTGACCCATGTGAATTTAAGATTATTGATAAGCATTGGCTTATTGCAATTTCACACATGTACAAACAGTAGCTTAATTCAGCTGATGTGAGCTATGTAAATAAATGCAAGCGATTTGATGCAAGTTGCCCTTGGCCACTTTCATTTTTTGAAAGTAGCTCTCAGATTAAAAAAAAGGTTGGAGATCCCTGAGCTAAATTACCTTCTTATTTTTTTCTCACAGAAGTACGAAAGCACAGACAGACACTACACTCTCATAACCTCTATCCAGATAATGAAAGCGTATCGTCCAGTGATTGCTTTTTCTGTCACTGTCATGTGGAGAAAACAGAAGTGAACTCATATATTTGTAGAAATGCTGCCGCTGAAGGTGTCAAAAGATCAGTTTAAAACCTAATGTCTAAGATTGAGTGTGAAGATCCAAACAAGGGAGGAAGTGCTTTGTTGGTGTACTTGATGCTTGTTTGAGTTTTTTTTTCCCCCTCTGTCTCTTTCAAACACCAGATGGAACAAGTCAAGAGAGCCAATAAGCTGTTCAGCAACGACTGCATTTTTCTGAAGAACAGCCTCAACATCCCTGTGTTGTCGGAGAAGCGCTACATATTTAATGGACTGTCTCTGGAGTCTCCTGATGGGGACGCTGAAGCAGCATGCCAGGAGGCAGATTCGCCCTGTGTTGTGACGCAGGACATCGAGGGACCCTCGCCACCCCTTTCCCCGCCCCCCGAGGACTCCAAACCACCCCAGCCAGAGGAGCTGTCAGCCAAAGACTTCTTACACAGACTGGACTTGCAAATCAAACAGTCAAAGCAGGCAGCGCGCAGGCTGAAAGAAGAGGAAGTAAGGTGAGGCGTTTAATGAAACGCAGCAAACTGCCTGTCTGTACATGCCTCTTTTTACTTCTGTGTGGGCAGGTGTTCGAGTTTCACTTAGTCTTACAGTAACTACCTTTCTTGCTTCATTAAAATGATGGCTGTAACTTGTAACTCTTGGTTTGGTTTATGCCAGTAGTGGATCACAAATACTGAGCTGAGTTTCTTGTTTGTAGCATGTTCATCGGGGGTTGTCAGACAGGGTATGTCTTTAGGTGAATATGAAGAAGGCAGTCATCTGCAGGGAGTTGTTCCACACTGATACAAGCGTCAGAATGGCCTCCTATGAACCCAATTATATACCAATTAGCCCCCTCAAAACTATAACACACAAAACAGTGTGGTGCTGGCAGAGTGTCATGTCAGCCAGAGCTAGCAGACACTAGCCATTAGACACAATCAGTCAGTGTTATTGACCACCAATGATATGGACATTTTAAAATCTTTCTAGTATCTGAGATTTACTCTTTATTGGCCAGAACTCAAATCTAGTTATTATTGTAATTGGTGTCAGGAAGGAAAAAAGGTTATCGAACATCTGTACATCTGCAGGCATGGGTCTTGATGTTTTGTCTATAATCTTGTTACCATTCATACCCACTTCCCCCAAACTACTGTGGGACTAAAGATCATCTTCCTCCCTGAGCTCAGTAGGTGACTGTCAGCAGGAAGAAAGGCTGAATGCACCGAAGTGAAAACGATCTCACAGGCAGAACAGTAGATAACAATCAGGATTCCGCCCCACAAGTCAGATGCCACGTTATGCAACAGTCAGGTATTTAGCAGCAGATTTGGCCCCGCTGAATCAGGCCTGAGCGTGCTTCTTCTGACCCGCCGTGTTCAAACAGAGAACCTCTCTCACGTCTGCTCAGTAATGGATGCCTGGAATAAACCCATTGTTGGTAGTAGTCTCAGTGCAGTCAGGACTGAGTCACATACTGCAGCTGTTTGCTCCACACAGATAGGAGTACAAGCTTTTTTTTTTTTTTTTCCATTTCAGGCTCTCTGAGTGTTTTGCTCATAGTGTTATGTTTTCATAATGGACCCAGGCCCTAATTTAGCAGATGTTCAGTTTGATGAACATCTGCTTCCTGTTTGCTTCAGGTTATTATTACCTAACCAGTTTGGCAGCTGCACGACCAGCATCAGATGTCCCTTTCATATCTGATTACTAACTGCTGCTCACCGTGATTCAGAAGATCTTTAAAAAGGAATCTCATCAGATTAATCCACCAATCAGTTTCTACCTGTACCATCCCTAAACTTCAATCCATAACAGATACGTTTATATGCGGTCATATAAAATAATAAAAATAAACTATTAATCCATGTTTTAAACACTACTAAATGTTGCAGATGTTGTCCACAGCAATGATGTCATCACTATATTACTATTTCTTCCTACTAGTAACTCTAAAACCTGTGATTTGTTTCACAAAGGAACAAGCCTTAAGTAAATGTTCAGGATTGTCATTTTCTCTCTAAATGTTTGCCTATCAGCTGAGGCCAGTCTAAGCCCAGTGTTAAAGCTCAGTCTCTGACTCCAGCCGCATCAAAGACGGGCATATGGAGCCACAGCCCCGTGTGAGCAAACACAGCCTCATGTCGTTGTTTCCACACAGTCCCAGAGTCAACACAGACCGCATGCCTGCTGCAAATGAAACAAACCGCAAAAATCTTCATTTTCTCTGTGGGGAATGGTTAATAGATCCATACATGTCACTTTGTAGAGCCTACATCTAGAGTTTACACATGTCATGAAATCCCTCTGTGACTTACTGTACGTTCCACAAACTCAGCTTTTTCAAGTATTTAATCACTTTATTTGTAAAGCACTTCTAAAAAATAGAAGTAACACATAAAGCATAAAAGTCAATAACGAGGAAGGATATGGACAATATGATGGAACACAATCATTCTTAACACCTTGAATTTGTTAAAGTGAAGGCAGGACAATATTCAATAAGTACATAGTGAAGTCTCAAGGTGTCTAGCATCATCTCTTAAATTAGCTTATTCAAGAAATCCAGAGGCCGTTGAAGCAAACACAACGTTGTGTCCTGAAACTTGAACAGAAGTCTGCAGCTTTGTCTATTATATTGATAGTTGGATATGAATAGAGATCTGTTTTCTCGTGGCTGTTTAACCTATAGATAAGGAATCAAATAATGTTTGTCTGAAGGTGGTTAGTAGAGCCAAAGGAAGGGGGATGATACAGATTTACATTCAACCAGATCCATACAAGAAATAAGTCAAGTTGGAGTTTGTTGGACTGATTGTGTGCTTCCTCCTCCTGAAAAGCAAACGGCACTCAGAATTTGAATCTCGATGCTTATTTGTGTACAGTTTGATCCTGTCATCCTTTTCACCCTCGGTTGATTTTGATCCTGACATATTTATCTACCTAGTTGTTACTCTTACTCTTGCCCTAACCTTGTGAATAGTGAAAGTATAAAATAAAGTAGAGAAAGACAAAATGATTTCTCTGAGACAGTGTTCATTCACTGCACCTCGTTACCTTTCTGATTAAGCTGAAGACGTTGGTGTGTAGTGCTGTGCCTTTGACTCAGATGAGCCTTCAGCTGTGACAGAGGACAATACGGTTGCTTGGTTAAACTCATCCATTATTCACACACACGGTATTCTCAGAACACGGGTTAAGCAGATGGAGAAGGACTAAGAAAGAAGTTAAAGAGTGTGTTTCTCTTTTTCCTCTGTGGGAAATCGACCAGAAAATGAAAGCTGTCCTCTCTTTTTCCACCCGCAGGAACAACGAGGACGACTACACGGCCCCCACGACGTCATACCAGGAAATATGAAGGACCTGTCTGTTTACCTTAAGCTCTGTCTCAGACACACAAACATACTGTATACAGGCCCACAAACACAACCACAGTCTCTTTGCTTTTTATTTTCTCTTGACCTTTTTGCTTTTACCAAACCCTCTTTGAGCAAGTGTCCTGTTTGCCTTTTATTTATTGAAATGCAACTACTCTGCGTATATGATTGTTCTTGTTTTGTACAGCTGTACTGTAAGACTAAGCGGTGCAAGGGGAACATCTCGTATAAATAGCTTCCGAGCACACGGCCCCTGTCCTCCCTCATATGCTACTGAAGCTGCTGTACAGAACCCACCTGCTGCACATGTACACACACACACACACACACACACACACACACACACACACACACACACACACAGGCACAAAGCGCTAAGCAACTCCAGGAGGATTAGCTTGTCAGACTCGCTAACCGCTTCTGATGTTCTAAATCCCCCATTACAGTAATATCATCGGAAAGTGTATACAGGCCTTCCTCATCAGTGTTTACCCAGTACGAGCTCACCCCAATCTGACGCAGGGGTTTGACTCAAGCCTTTGGACACGTCCTGTTTGCCTCATTGAAGCTTTTTTTGTTCTCTTTGCGATCAGAAGGGAGTGCTCTATTTTTTTGAAGTGTGAATGCATTATTTATGTGTGCGGGGAACTGTCTGTAACAGCTGTTATATTGTGCTTTAAGATTCTATTGTTTTATTTCTGAGAATAAATGTATATTTAAACCAACAAGGAGTGTTTTTTAATGAACATGTGGATGTCCGTTACTGTGTGTGTGTGTGTGTGTGTGTGTGTGTGTGTGTGTGTGTGTGTGTGTGTGTGTGTGTGTGTGTGTGTGTGTGTGTGTGTGTGTGTGTGTGTGTGTGTGTGTGTGTGTGTGTGTGTGTGTGTGTGTGTGTGTGTGTGTGTGTGTGTGTGTGTGTGTGTGTGTTTTCACGATCAGAGTACACGGATAAAGAAAAGGCAATGTTTTAATTGCTTTTTAACTTTAGGAAAAAGTCACAAATATTTACATTTAAAAATACTTATCTTCTGGCTCTACAGAGATGGAAATGAACTCACAGAGACATGCAGAGAGAGAGTGGATGGTACAGACACTGCCCCCTAGCGGGCCCCCAGAAGAATTACAGCAGAACTGATTACAGGAGTTTGCAGGGCAACGACATGGAACAAGACAAATATATTTTTTTGGTAAAATAAAAAGCAAGAGATACATAAAGATCTTACATATATACTGGAGGAGAAAAAAAAGAAATATAATAGGCTAAGAGAGGTTACACAGAATGAGTACATTTTGATATATGTGTTTTTTTTGTAGCACAGAATGAATTGGAAACACTGAAGCTACAGCATCATACTCTCATAACATTCATTTCCCACAGGAGTCAGGTTGGAGTAAATGGTAGCATTTAAGTGTTGAGTTGGTTAATAAAATAGTTTGATTTACTCTTAATAAGGATGTATTATTTATTATCACACTGCAAACCTGGCGTGCATATACTATCAGTTAGGTAGCTGTAGAATAATTCTATTGTTTTGTTTTGAGTTTAATTAAATCTCTTCTCTTGATACATTTTGGGAATGTCTGGGAGGGTCGATGAGTTCCCCTTAGCAGGTAGATTTGAATACACAGTATATACTTTCACCATGCCATAGGAAATAACTGTTGAGTAATCAGGGTTTGGTTTGGAGTTCTTAAAATCAGATTCAGTCCTGTATTCAGGGGAGACAATGGCATTACAGACTGCTGTAGATCCTCTTAATGGTGTCGCCCTCGTCCTTAGCGATGATGCCCTTCTCGATGTACGAGTCGACCTGCTGGTCCATGAAGTCCTTCAGCTTGGACAGATCATAATCTGGAAATGGGAGACACAAAATGCAAATGATGGCTTTTGTTAATGTTGGAAGTCATGATGCTGTGGGGGTTTTGCCGTTGGATAGATCAGACATTAAACTCCGGAAGCGCCGTCTTCTTATAACAGCACACCCAAACAAGCCTTAATCTGCTGCGGTAGTTCATCATCAAGGCAGATTAAGGTCAGAGTTAGCATGTTGTGGGGTTAAGAAGATACAAACATGGAATAAAAAAGCCAAAGATCACACAAGGAAAAATAATGAAAATGTTTTCTAGTATTTCATTCATAAGTAGTACTCATGTTTAACAACAAAACAACGTTTATGTTGTTACTGGAGGAGCTTGATGAACACATTCACTTTTTTTAAAAGCACCATTTGAGTTCACCGGTCATTGTCATCAAATAAAGCACCAGAAGGCCACTGCAGGATGTAGCTATATTTAGAGATGAACAGTTTTATCCATCATAGTAACAAATGAGTTTCAGAAAACAGCAGAGCAAACATCTGCTGCATCATTTCTCCCTGCTATGACTGACTAAAGAGGGAACAGGAGGATAAATGACAATCAAGAGGACACACACACAAAAAAAAAAAATCACTATTCTTTTCTAACAACCTTTGTGGCCTAAACAAGTTATTGCATCGTTACAAGATACAGTTTGTGACAAATGCGACATGTGTGAGGGATTAACAGAATGTGATTAGAGACGGCACCGGTTTTCTCAATCTTGGCTGTAAGGAGCCAGCAGGCAAAACCAGGATGTCGCCTCAAGCCCATCTGCTCTTCTGGCTAATCTGTGTGATGTGTAGGCGAAAACACATACACACACACATTTGCACACACACAAAGATTGTCCTAATGGATGCTTCTAGTAGAGTAAACACAATAAATGGTGCGACTCCAGCTCTGTTTCTCTGACACTGCAATCACAATCACACTTTTTTTTTTTTTTGAAAGGCCTTTTGTTCCCTCGCAGCTGTACTTTTCCTTGGAGAGAGGAAAATTAATGAGAATAGCATTGGCAATTTTTGTAGTACCATGAGTGCTAGAAAAGTGGATCCCAAAAGGATATCATTTTGATAGCGCCACTTCAGGAAAATGGGTTGATTTCGGGAGCACATTATGACCCTCAGTCTGAGTTTCTCTATCCCGACACCATCATCTGTGTTTCTCCTCAGCCCAGATCTCTGACTGGCAGGCACGGAGGCCCATGTTGCCCCAGACAACCACTCCACGCACACTAGAATGCTAATGAAGTGTCCTATATAGAGCCAGGTCGAAGATGAGCACCGCACAAAACTTCCCTGCTGCTCTACACTCTGCTACTCTATAAGCTTAGTGTCAGCCTCAATTTTTTTTGCTGTCTTTCTTTTCTGTGTTTTAACTCAAAAATGTGGGTCCAACTTATCATTGGTGACTATTTTTCAGACTCCCTAGAGCCCAAATGTCCTATTTATTGACTCACATTAGATCAGGCCACTGAACATGACCAGTAAATATAATATATTTCACAGAGCAGCTACTTGTGTTTATTTTTTGTCCTAGATGTCCTGCAGAGATGGTCGCCAATGGACCGATGGCCTGAATAGCGAGAACTCATTAACATTTCACCCTCTGCTGCTTATTTAAGCACCGCAGGGCATTGATTTTTCTTTGTGGAGAGACCAACAGCAGAGTTGTCCTGTTGTTTGTCAAAGCGATACAGTTTGCACAGCTCTGTAGTTTCTGGGTCACATGCTGCTTCTTTATGAAGGCTGACAGTTACAGTAAGTGCAAAGAAGCGTATAGAAATCCACAAAAGAAGCACACTAAGGCACATATTGATGATGAATGTGATGCTCTTTTCTTGCTAATTATGCTACAGGACCATAAATGCTAAAGAACAGGTATGACAGGTAGGAGGGAATGAATAAATAGATCCTTGTCTCTTAACAGGGAAGCTGCATCATTAGTAATTAGGACGGACTCATGACTCAATGATCCATATTCATGAGATCTGGAGTGAAGCATCTTTCCCAGTATCCCACACTCATTCTGAATGCAAATCAGGGCGGACAAAAGAGGCTTCAAGTTTTGTGTTCTTTGGTGCGTCTTCTCAGAGCCGGCCGTGACCCCGGACACTTTAATGAGGAGACGAGGGCTTGCAAATGAGGATGTTTTTCTTGTTCTGGCGCTTAAAACTCACAAAGAATGGAGAAAAGAGAACAGTTGTAGTGTGTCTCACCATCTTTGCCTTCTTCTTTGTCGTGTTTCTTCAGCCACTCAATGTTCTTCCTGATGGCCTCCAGATATGTCTCCGACTTGCCAGGTTGATCTAAAAAGAAAGGAGAAAAAGAAGATGTGGAAAGTGTCCTCTTTGATGTGTTAGAAAGTACAAAAAAATATCACTTCACTTTTCTGTAGCTCATTAACACTTTAATTTTCCACACTTTCAGCATTAGAGTTAGACATCAGTGTCTTACGCTTATCAACTATTTACTCGACTAAATCTTGTTGAAACAAGACTTTTTTCTTAAAGTCAGTAACTGCCCAGAATTTAACTTCTAAAAACAAGAAAACTCAAAGGATTATTTCTGGTCTAAAAAGACCAAATGAATGTGGATAAATGTGCTTATGTTCAGTGCCTAAACACATATTACATATGAATAAAAATGCAAGACCCTAATGTTCACACAAATACTTTCAAATGCAACTGAGGGATATCTGTTAAGTAACATAATTCAGATTTCAGCCGACGTTGATCATCATTTTTTTTTATTTCAAGCTGTAACTAATGTTCTGTTGGTAATCCAGCTCTATGTATCATCACAGTTTTTCTCTTTCATTCTGTGTGTGTGTGTGTGTGTGTGTGTGTGTGTGTGTGTGTGTGTTTGTGTGTGTGTGGATTAGGCTGATGCGCATGGACAGGAACAGGGAGTAATGGCAGCTGTGACGTGCCTTCCTGTCAGTTTTATTGGACTGGCCTAGTTCAGAAAGGGACTTAACATACTGTCTCTTTCATGTCAGCCCTGCTAAGTCAAAACACAATGTTTGAACCTGAGCGTTCGCTGAGGAAGAGCAGGAAGATGTTTTTTCTTCATTGAATTGATGCGGTTGGGATTTGCTATATTTGGAAATTCTGTTTATTTGAGATCTGGATACAAATCAAAGCATAACAAAAGCAAACAAAACAGGAACAAAACAAAGGAGAACAAAAAGGAATCATGAAGTCTACAAGGCACTATTATTCTTAAGAGTCAAAACGGTAAACTTGGAATAAATTATGATTGTAAGCCACTTGTCAAATATTAAAAAAAAAGCTATTCATGTTTCTTTAGATCATCATTGAGTTGTGGACTGACTGGTCTCAGTTGATGGCTGCTCCTCCTTGGTAGAGTCTTTGAGGTTCTCGTACTCCTTCTGCATCTTGGCAGCCTCGGCCTTGGTGTTGTCGTCCTCATCCAAGATTTTTCCTGCAGCAAACAGAAGGCACATGAAGCATTAAGAATTGTTGTTGCAAAAACTGAAGTTTAGAAATGATGATATACTGTTTCATAGAGGGTTGTGTTCAAAATAGCATCTTGGCTAGGAGCAGTGTGTTCTTTAAAACCCCCACTGTTGATTGTATAGTGCTCCTACCCAGAAAATAGTCCAGCAAATAAACCTAACATTTATATGTTAAGTGAATCAATCCCAAAGGCTGACAAATTACATTTAAAATCTGTGAATAATTTCAAAGTTGGGCCCTTTAATCCCAACAAAGTCAAACATACATGTTTTATACTACTGTTCAATAATTCTGACTCTGCTGAAGAAATTATTATTATTATTTTTTTTATGTTTGGTGGATAACTGAAGGGGCTGATTACCGTTGGGTCCAGGGACGTCAGGAGGTCCGAGGGACTTGCCGAGCTTGTTCTTGGTCTGCATGGCTATCATCGCATCCAGGTTCTCTGCAGGGGAAAACAGAAGAAACACTTTAGGTTCATTCAAATTGAGTCATCGGTTCACTCCAAAGACAATTCATGAAACCCTCTTAACCTTTTGAAAGTCCCACGCTGTCTCTGTGTGACTCACAGCTTGATTACCATTTAAAAGGGGCTTTTATCTGATCATTAAAAAGGAGGTCCAAGGCTTTGACTGAAGTGATAAACACAATCTATTCCATGATTTCATTTAATAACTTTGAAAGCAGAAGACCGAATTTTGAGAGAGAGATGAGTCAGCCTTTTTTATGGAGATAATATATCCAGAATTCAGTAGACACAGTCCTGTATCCTTATCAGGGCTTGTTACCACACGTATTACAGAGAGGTTTATTACAAGATTAGGAAATTAAAAGACCCCCAATCAGCGAGAGAGTGACACAAACAGATCATATGCCTCATGAAAGTGATGTTAAGTGACAACTGATCCTCTGTGGATTAACAAGTGGTAAACATTAGGTTTAAAGGGAGGGGGAGCAGATGTTCTGCAGATACACAAACCCCAGAGGTCAAATGAAATTTCAGCCTCTATATCAAGTTCCAATACCATATTAAGTTTAGGTCCCCTATGAAAACCCTGTTTAAACATGTACACATGGTTTATTAAACAATATGATGTAGCTCAGTATAAGTGTTTATTAATGTATAGTAGTCGTAAGTAATAGAAGTACTGTAATGTATAGTATTTGTCAGGATTTTGTATTTTGTATTATTAAATCTGTGTTGAATTACATCATCTTTCATTATCCATTTATAAACACACGGGTGGCTCAGGGGGAGGATTACAAAACACATTATGTAACACTTTTATCTGCGTATAATAGAATTATTCACCGTATTCACACAGCAGGTATAGGCTTATTTACCCCATGTTCAAGATGGGGAGATAAAATGCTTTAAGAACGTTTACTTCTTAATCCAGACAGATAGCCTACCTATAAATTCAATGCTTCTCAATTGATCAGCATTTGAAAAGAAGACGATATTGATAAAGGGATGAAGTGCCATACTTCAAGATAAATCAAAAAATATTTTATCCACTTTTACTGTCATCTCTGTTTGTTTCTCTAAAAAATAAAAATGAAAAGCTCTTTATGTTTAGTTGTGCTTTAACATTCCCCCTGGAAGATTCTAGCCAACTTAATAGCCTACTGCTAGCCAACTTATTGCTGCTAGCTAATTTAGTACTAACTAATTCACATTACCGTTAGCTAGAAATGTACACCGTTCTTAGTATAACTATTAACAATATTAAATGGTAATGTTAGCTAGAAAGTGGTTGAATGCTAACCTTAGCTGTTGTCTAATAGCCTAATGAGCTCAACTTTTTTACATTATTTTTTTAGTCTTTCTGCCTTTATTATAGAAAGAACTATAGCATCTGCACATTGGACGCGATATAATTGCTAGGCTTTCAAGCACCCCCAAATATATTGTTTTCATCTAAATTTTGGATTCATGTGACCTACATCTATATTTCCTTAGGCTTATAGAGATTTTAATCAACTAAGAAGTTGTGCAATAACACTATGTGTAATATTCCTTGAGTCAATAAGAGCTACAAAACTGTAAAACATTAGCTTGACAATATACTGTAACAGAATTTGAGCTTTCCACCCTGAGCACAACATGAGAGGAACATTTCAGCTGTGCGATAGGTTGATAAATTAATACAGCTACTGCTGATAAACAATAAAGAGTGGGACTTCAGTTCCTCTGAGGTAGATCTCCAGCTGGGTCTATATTGTAGATTGTAACACTTTTTGAATGTGTTATTTTGGCCATTTTACAACAAGTCGGCGCAGAGAAATTTGTGTTTTTATAAATGGGGTCTAGATCTTGAGGCTGTTTTGAGTGATGAAAGCTGGATAACGTAACACCAAAGGAATAGGAGTAACACCATGGCCAACCATCAACTGAGCATCAAGCAGCCTTACATCCCCCCCCCCCCCCCACACACACTTTTTAAATTTCTTATTATCTGAGCATCTCCCTATTCCTTTCACTTCATTTTTCAGTTTTCAATCTGCCTTCTCCCACTTGTGGCCAACGGAGAATCATTATTTCATCTTCTTTCTCTGCCCACACAAACTTTTCTCTTTTCTTCCACCCCCACTCCCTTCCTTCTTATCTCTCTCTCTTTCTCCCTGTGCCTGTATCACCCTTGGGCAGAGTGCTGTTTATTGACAGCTGTGTGTACAGTTGTATACCTTGGGTGACTCATCAGAGCCTCGCAGCCAGTTGGGGGTAGAGGGCCTTTAACATGTTGCTAGGCGAAGTGGGATTCCATCTACTTATCTCTCACAACCTACACCCCGAACGAAGCTGGGTTGGTTGTCTAGGAAACTCGTATGTCATGCAATGTTACATGCCTGATTTGTTCTGGTGTTTAACATCAGCAGTGGCCTTTGTTCTGCTGTTAACAGACAACAATGAACAGGATGTTGTAAAGGGTTATCTAAAGGAGTATTGATTAATCCTACAAGGTTAGCTCTTAATACATTACTTGATCATGGCTCTTGACATGCACACTGTAAACCAAACCTGATTGGCTACACATCACATTCATGATTTTTTATGACTACTGTTAAAAAGCCAAAAAATAATTGAAAGTCAATGGAAAGCGGTCATTAGTTTATGCATCCAATCAAGCAAAAGTGCGAAACATTTGCTGTTAAAACTTTTAAAAAATGTGTGAGTAACTGCTGTTCATTGTTTTATATAAGTTTCAATTACAATACTTCCATTATTGACTGTCTGATTGACTAAAACGGGCAATTTGAAGCCATCACCTCGGGCTGGAAACATGTGACGGCCATTTCTTCATCATGAAGTGACTTTATATGACACAAATAGTTAATGATGATTTTACAGCTCAAAATGAGACCACATCTTCCAGGGGGATATTAAAGCACAATTTAGCATCAGAAAGAGCTGGTCATTTGTATTTTATTTTGTCTGGACTGATTTCAACAGAGAGATAAAGAGAGAGAGGGTAAGAGAAACAAACACAGATGACAGCTGTCCCTTACAGGTGGCTGACCTTTCCACTGGCTGCTGATGTGATGGCCGGCCGTAAAAGCCCAGCCAGGTTATATAGGGTGTCCCTGACACTAATCTGTCGGTGCAAGCTTCACGCTTCACTGCACAGTCTCATGTGGGACATTACTTTGGCTGGACACACGTTGAACACAAGGCAAATATAACAAAACAAAGAGACGGAGAATTGAGTGTCGGCTAGCTAAGCAAAGGATTAGATCCAAACCTAATTTATAAATCTTTCATTCAGATCCGAGCCACATATAGGGCAAACACATATAGGGCTGTTGGACATGGTGAAATCAATAAAAAAAAACATAGTGGAAAGCAATCAGCTGAAAGACATTACAACAGTTAAACTACTTACAAAGGTTTGCAAGGACTGTGCCACCTTTTAATGATTCTCTGCCTCATGCTACTACACTGAATGGACCAGACTATAGATAAACAATGCTCTTACTGTGTTATGTCTTACCTAGATAAGACACGCCCTCCTCAGGCGTTATGGTGCCATACTTGACCATCATCTTCACAAAGTCAATCAGCGTCTTCATGATGGTGATCAATGTCTCTCTCTCCTGAGTGTCTTGTTCTGCAGGAGCAAACCAACAGAGGCTATTTTTAAAACCAGCGTCTAGCATCAATGCTTCGTTAACAGTAATTGGTTACCATGGTGTAAATGTTACCCCATGGTGTTTGACTGTAGGGGGTCATACAGATTGGATTATAAATAATTAGTCATGTTTGTGGTTTTGTGTGTGTGATACTTCCAAGAACTGCAATGGAAACAAATGAGAACAAAATAAGCATTGACTCATCCTTGAGAACAATATCAACATGACAACAACAGCTTCAGAGTGCTGCTCTTGATCTGAAGAACTTTCTATCTTTAGCTGGAGGATGCTGTGTAGTGATGATCTTAAATGTTACTTCAGGGTTGTGTGTGTGAGTGTGTAATTACCTGAGTCAAGGCTCCTGAGCAGACGGTAGAAATTGGGGAAGTACTGCAGGTCCTGGAGCCCATCTTCAGGTCTCACCTCGTTGCCCTCCTCAGTATCTTTGTCCCACGTGTTGTCTCCCGTGTCACCCTCCTCTTCCTCTGCGTCTCTGTCCACCTCGTCCTCAACCACATCATCATTCTCCTCCTCTTCCTCCTCGTCGTTGTAGCGGCGCCTGGGTGGCTCCCATGTGTCCTGGAAAATATTTGATTTTAATTATTAGAGGGAGAAGAAAAACTTGCATGTTGTGCAATATGATTAGGCCCTATCATTGCACGTCTTCTTTATTTTGTGGGACGACACAAACATAGAAATTCTATGCAAGCGATTCCATGTGAGAAGTTATTAGAGCAATCAGTAATAAGCCAAGTATTAATTGCTTTATCTCTAGTATATTTTGCATAGAAATTCAGGGTGTTTTTGTACAAATAAAACATTGTTGTTTAGCTGTACTAGCAGTGTCCACTGGGATTTCAGCAGGCATCTACTGGATTTAATTCATCTCTGTAAACACGCAACTGTAAGAGCAGCTAACTATCCAGACGTCTTCTTTCGACTTCGACTCTGTTCTCGCGTTTCAAGTTGGTAGCATAGACTGTAAATATTATTATTATTGGTAGTTGGGCCAGACTAACTGCTGGCTTCACCAAAATGTTCAATAGTCGCCGATGTTTACTTTTGTCACCGAGAAAAAACAAACAAACAAAAAAACGATATTGGCTGCAGTCTGCTAATTCCAGCGAGGCGCAGCTGACACAGTTGAATCCTTGTTACGACACACATAGATGACAAAGAGGAAGGTGGAGACACCGGGGATGAAGAGGTCTGTCGGAACGAGCTGCATTTACACCCTAAGTTAGCATTGTGTGCTCAAAAATATTACATGTATGTGCTTCTCGCTAACGTTAGCTAAAAACTAGTAGCCATCTGCGCACTAGCTAGCTAACAAGTGAGTTAGTTAGATAGTTAGTGAGTATATTTCCACATAAGTTTTATGAATCTGCTCAGTTTTAACGTGTAAATCTCTAAATAAATCGTAACAATGTGTTTTCTCACAGTTTAAGGATTATGTAAATCCACAGGTGCTTTCTGTGGTAACTATGATTTGTGTTTGTTTTTAATCTTTTTTTTTTTAATAGTTTTTGAATGCATTTAATATGTTCAATTGTACTAGTAGGCTACTAGTAAAGCCCCTGACCTGATTTTGTAAATTCAACATATTTTATATATAATTAATAATAAACATATAGTCCTATTAATAAAAAGACTGAACACCACAGAGAAGATCAGACACCTGGATACTCTGATGATCCATAGGATACAATCAAAACTAGGATAATACTTATATACTAATTTTTATTATTATATAATCATCATGCTATCACGAATATCACTTCAATGTTGGTTTTTACCAAGTTTGTGTCTGAACCCTTGTCATCCTGCTCCCCTCTGGTTTCTTGGTCATTGCTCTCAATGTCCTCAATCTCATTGTTCTTGGCATTTTTGGTGATGAGATCCTGCAGAGCCTCGGCCACCTGGTACTCAAGAGTTTCTGCCTGACTGTCTGTGATCTGCAGAGAGACAAAACAAATGACACAGACTGAGAACAGTTGTGTGTAGAATAACCAGTGTGCCAGAAGGGAACAACACAAGCTGACTGCCAACCTCCATCTAGTCCATATTACATTTATACTATTATACTGTCACACAGAAATCCAGCTCTGGAAGCAATTTCTTTGCTACAAATTACTTTGGCAGGGGGTGGGGGAGAGAGATAGTTCCTGTTGAGAAAATGTCAAGCAGCATGCCGTGTGGAATCGAACAGCATGTGAGAGCTGAAAGCTGAAAACCTACCAGCCCCAGTTTGAGTAGTTTGGAGACGATTCTGTCAAACACCCCTCTGTCGTCTTCCTCATAGATTTTGTTTGCGATCTTCTGGACAATGTCCTCTGCTGTCAGCGGAGTGCCGTCCACTTGACGGAAGCTTTCTGGGTCATCTAAAAGGGGAAGACACATTATTTTCTAACATCTGTAACTGTCTTGTCATGCTTTTGTGCTTTATGTAGGCGTTTCTGCTTTAAATCCTTCCTGCACATCATTGCTGAATGATGAGGACCTTCCTGCACAAGGTCACAGTATTCTTTGATATTTTTCTACTTTCCCTCATTTCTATCGATCAACCAGAAATGGTAGAACTTTTTCATGAAGCTTTCGTTCCTTAGTTCTTTCTACTCTTTCCATCTCTTCTGCTTCTGATGTCCACGCACAAAAAAAATAAGCAGAGCCAGAATACTCCTGCCTTGGTACCGGTGAGTTGAATCATCACTGATGTACTTTCAAAAACCTTCAAACACTGGGCCTATTTCTGTCACACTCTGGAAGAATATAAAGAGAAACGGGGACTGCGCTTGCCAATTTTAGATGTAGTGTAACCAGACGAGCTCCTTGTCATTGCCAGGACGACTGAGTGAATCGATGAAGTGTTGCACTCAGCGCTGTGTGTCTGAGTCACCTCACCTCTGAGACTGTGCTTTATGCTGATGACTGGATGGGAGATCAAATTACATGCATACAGTGAAATATGTGCTGATCTGATGAAATCTATACTCTACAAAAATCTATGTAGATATGAACAATTGATTGAATTTTGAATGAAGTTACAAATATGGAATCAAAATTGACTGATGGACTGCATTTGCATGATTTATTTAGGAACTGATTGGAAAGGGTTTAAAAGCATATTTGCAAATCAACACCTCAATCTACCTTTCCACTAAAAGTAAAGTTTGTATTTTTGTTCTTAGAGTATTTTATCATTGATTACCATATTTGTCTCTGTTGAATGACAGTCTATCTTCCTGTGTTGATCTACTGTGTATTTATTTTCACTGCTTTCTAAATGCTAAAATAACATGCTGCTGCTTTAACAGCAAAATTACAGCCCAAGCACAGAAACAGTGAAAGGACCCTACCTATCGACACTGACTGGATCCACATGAATCCGATATTTGGTTTCTTTCTTTGTACACAGTAATAGACGGATATGACATAGTGGTGGTCGGTGTATGAGAAAAATCTGAGTCATGAATATCAAAGGTCCCCTGTGAAAATAAGAAGCAGGAACAGTAGCCTTGCAGAAAGGGAGGGGATAATCTTTTTCTCTTGCATGCACGTGTCCTGTCTTTGACTCTTTCTATCTGTCTCTGCTGATCCCCATCAAAGACACGTGTTCTCTCTACCTACTCTTTCTTAAAATGTCTGCCCGGTGGCCTGCCAGCAGCCGACAGAAGCACGCCACATGAGGCCTGCCCTTGTCGAAGGGGTTAAAGGCCAGACAAGCAGAGGGACTCAGACCAAACACTGTGGTTATCGCAGCTTACTTCACAAACAAAGCCTGGACTGGGCCTGATGGAACAAGGTGGTGACAGGTGTGCGTACCCTGGTACTTGCCATAGTCCATCCCGTTTTTGGTGGAGTCGTAGTCCTCAGCCAGACGTCGGCTCTTGGTCGAGTCAGATTCATCTGGAACATACTGCATGTCCTTCTTGATTGGCACCTCAGTGGACTCTTTTGATTTCTGCTCATCAGCTAGTGACTTCAGCACGGTTAAATCATCAAGGTCCTGCTGGGACTCGGAGTCCTTGGTGGAAGAGGGACGCCTGCTCTCTGAATGAAAACAAAACGTAAAAAAATCAAGAGGAGAAGATGAACTATTCTCATTTATTGTGGTTCATAAAGTAGTTCCTTCTCTTTACAAAATATGCTTGTTTTACTGGAAGTGCCACAACATAGATGCACTCAGCAGGCGGAAATAAAGTTAATTGATTGGCAGTGAGGTTTCCGCTTACCAGCTGACTGTACTGCAGCCTTTACGCTATCCGCCTCAGCAATCTGTGCAGAAAGAAGAACATTAAACAAACAATTTCCACTCAGGATATAAGCTCTGATTAATAATGTTTGCTGGGCTAATACTGAGGCTGTTTGACAATCAGCCATAAAGTCCATTTAGCCGGATATTGGATGATAAAATTGGCTATGGGACGAAGAAAAAAGGGACTTACCTGCTCTTGTACTGGTCTTTCTTCTGTCAACTGTCTATTGTAGACGGGTTTATCTGCAACAGAAAAAAAGGCATTCAATTGGTGGCTCAAAGCAGACTTTATCATTGAAAGGCAGACCCAGATTTAGTGGTTTGAAAGACAGTGCCACATAGCACATAGATAAACAGATTTCTTGAATGAGAAAGTTTTAGTTTAAAAAAAAAAAAAAAAAAACTTTGATTAACAGACTTCTTTATTTTCTTGTCATTTAAATTAATTTACAGCTCTCAGACTTCTGTGACCGTCACTGCCCTCCCAGCTAACCACAGCAGAGGCAGAGCTTAATCGGATTATCAAACAAAAGATTAAACCGCGTCGAAAATAGACCACAGGCGGCCATGGCATGAGACGAGGCGTCGTTTCAAATCCACGCAGGACGGTACGGAGCTGGAGCCCAACTTTAAGGGCTCTGCTTTTGCTCTGTTTTTTTTTTTTTGTCAACAGGTTTGTAGTGAGGTTTATACCCGGGCTCTTTACACTAGGCTATATAAAAAAAAAAGTCATAAAATGAATTTAAAAACAAATGAATTGAAAATTCCGGTAATATCTCTTTGACTGTCCATGCAAGAATCACACAAGGTGTAGCCTACAACGTGCGCTGTCCACAATAAGAGTACATCAACAGCGAGGTTTTAAAATTTCAAGGATTAATTGAGTTTATAGCCTCGTAGTAGGCTATTTTTTATATCAATAATTAAGACGCATATATGACCTGAGCTCAGTCGGGAGTTTTGGTGCCCAATTGCACTTCGTGATTATTTCAAATCTCGTTTGTAGATAGGCTACTGATTCCATGTGGAGGCAGTTCGTCTTACAAATTGTACGGTGTGCGAGCAAATTGTTCCCGAAAGAACAAGACTTTCACTTTTTTAATCGTATGGTAAGAGAAGAGACTGTCCACTCACCATCCGTAGAGGCTGCTGTAGGTGTGGGGAAGGCAGATATCTGGCTCACTACACTCAGGGCTAGAAGCTGGAAAAGGACGAAGAGGCCAGCGTATTTGGACGCCATCCTGAAATACGGCGTCTCGGTTTGTCCAGGGGGGAAGCGAGCCTTAACGCTACCCTTTGCTTCTTTGTGGTGTTTGTTTCAACCTCCAGCAGGAGAAGCAAAGTGCTGAATGCGTGGACAGCTCCGCGCCGCTGGTGCTGAAACTGTTCGCGGAGGCTGCGCCCTGGTTACCCGCTGTGTGAGACGCACCGGGCGGGGAGGAGGTGGGGGGGCTGAACGATTCTCCGCCGGGGCTCTGGAGCTGTTAGCGAGCCGCGGTGCTGAAACCAGGTCAGCACGGTATAATTATAACCAGATAAGTAGGGAGGCTCTTCAAGCCCCGTGTGAGATACAGCATCACCTGCCAAGGCAGTAATAGAGCCCACAACCACAGGACCTGCCCCCTCTGTCTTTACAGAGGAGGAGGAGGAGAGATAGGAGGAAGAGGAGGAGAACACTGTAAAAAGTGTCAAGCTTATCGAGACATCCCTTAAATGTAAATCCCCCACCGTTTACTTATGTCAAATTTAGACTTAAATAATAAAACGAGCTCACGTATTTCTGCATTTAATTTCCTTTAGATAAGTAGCTTAGCCCGGTAATTTGGACCATAATTTAAAAATATTTTTGTAGGTCTTTGTTTGGTAAACTAGTTTTCATTTTTTTTTTTATTAACTATAGGATATATTTGATCCAGTGTATCTGAAAGTTACCTAAATGAGATGCTGAATATTTTTCGCAGCGTTTCAGCAGAAAACTCCGCCCATTGAGTGCGTCACAAACAACCTGCGTCACCGTCGTAGATCTTCCACTGGCCGGTCAATAGCAACCATTATTAAAACGCCGAACAATTACACACGTAAACAAAAGGGGGATATAAATTAGGGCTAGTTTATTGCCTCTTTGGTTTCACAAGCCCAGTGTGCTGCTAATCAGATGTTGGTGTATGACTCTTATGGACGAATCATGGCCATGATTGGCCGGGTTATTAGATTTAGTTTCCCGTGGCCCTTACAGAGGCCAGAGTGAGGCTCCTGACAAGATGAAGGCCTTTAATATCTTCCATTAAACTTGCAAACTAATAAGTAGCCTGCAGAATAAAAAAAAAAAAAAGTCTAACTTCTTCTATATCAGAGAGAGAGTCTGTTTAAATTGGGTTTCCATAAGAATATCAAGTTCTGTGAAATAACTAAACCAAAGCATGTGTGGAAACATTTCACATCTTAAATGAGGAAATGTTTACTGTAGACTGTGAGACTCACAGCAAGTCATGTGACATATCCTCTGGTTAATCCTATAATTTATGAAAGCAGGATCTTAGATTAAAATGCATCCTGGTCAGTGATTGGTTAAGTATCCTCTTATAGGACTTTTTTATGACAGGTTTGTTTGCCATTATAACACAACAAATGAAGTGATGTAAACTCTCCCTTTCCTCTCCTTGGAGTAGTTGTTATTTATGCTGTGTGTACAGTAGTCATTCTCTTCCCCACACAGTGTGTAGGAGTGACGCTTTCTTAGCTCAACCCTGTTAAGATTTAATAGCACTGCTTGTTGGCTGTGATATTTGTTCATCCTGTCTCGTATGCAGTAACACTCTAACTGCAGGAAAGGAAAATAGCACAGGTGTTACTAATAATTTAAAACCAGAGATTATATTTATGGACACTTTTGTTTTTCTCCAATGAAAAAGGTCCCTCCCTCCTTCACAGGCATTTTTTAATAACTCTGACTGATTAAATGACAAGTCAGAAGTGCAGCAAAACTAACAGGAAGTTTAGAATAAAATCAGTTAAGGTGTTTGTACACACCTACTCAGTCCTGATTAAAGGGCTAATCTTGAGTGAAAACACCTGTGTAGGTGAGCTGTGAGCAGGACTGGGATCTGTCATTCCAGGCCCATCTCCATATGCTCACAACAGACCACACTCCTTTGTGACCATTTAGGTGAAACCCAATGCAAACCAATACTGCTTCCAAAAAGCCTCAACTTTATTTAGTCCCAGACTAAATTCAGAGTCGCACCTATAGTAAGGCTGCATGCAGGAATCTTGCTTTTGGTGCACATTATGAGTGTTTGTTCTGATATTTCATCTGAGCTTTTACTGGACTTGTGTGGTATCACGTATAGCTCCGAGTTACTGGAGGAACTTCCACTTGAGAGCAGTTTTTATTTTAAATTTCATTAACAGGGTATCTGCTTCCCTTTGTAGCATGATTACATGTTGATGCACTTAAAAAAAAAAAAAAGTCAACTCAAGAAGAGATATGATACCATGATAACTCATGTTGAAAACATTTGTATGGGCTATTTTCCCAGTTCACATTGCACTAAATACAGCTGATGATTAATTATTTAAATACAGATTTAATGGAAAAAGAATCGTTTGAGATACTAGTATCATTGTCTGAAGTGCAGATAACTGAGCCTGCATTGAGTATGTAGAAGTTAAGGAAACTGTAGGTGCATCATTTAAAGTTATAGCTAAGAACATAAAACCCTTTGATGGGTCTCCTGCATGTGTCATTGCGTTGTGTTAAGAGGATAATTAGAAGGGAAACATATGTCTCTGGGAATACAGGCCTGCTCCTCTGCCATTATGCATTAATTTGACTGCAGTTTCTTCAGGGCTTCCCTCCTTTCAGAGCTCTCTCTCTCTCTCTCTCTCTCTCTCTCTCTCTCTCTCTCTCTCTCTCTCTCTCTCTCTCTCTCTCTCTCTCTCGCTCTCTCTCCTGCCCAGGCCTAATAAAGGTTTCACTGAGTTATTTTCACAGTGCAGACAACATTTATCAAGTAGTGAGGACAATATTGACTTCAGGTCTGTTTATTAAAAAAATTGACATTATTGAGTTTATTATAAGGTTGTTGGCTATCTATTAGCCATCTATTATCTGTAAGATTAGGAGTTCATGAAGAATGCAGTAAATCAGGTCAAATGTTTTCAACAGTGGACAAGATCCTTCGTGTTTAAAGTCTTGCATAAAATGACCTCATCTATTTCAAAATTTACAACATTATCTGGCCTTAAATATAATGTATCAATCAAACACCTCCTGCTCAGTTTGAAGTGTTAAATACAATCTAAAGCATTGATCGTACATCTTACAGTGAAAACCCTAGGCTTTTATTTAACTCAGTCTATGAAATGACCCTGCCTTTATATGGGACAGGCATCAATAGCAGACAGAACCTTAGTTATTTACAAACAAAATAGTGCACAGAAAAGATGGTAAAGACTGTAAAATGTACATTTACACTGTAAAGAAAAATTGACAGTGTAAAAAAAAAATGTAGCGATAAAAAAATATTTTAGGTTAAGAATCACACACACACACACACACACACACACACACACACACACACACACACACACACACCGGGCCTTTAATTGAGATGGGCCTTTGTTTGAAGTTCTCCCGTGAGACTGTTTTCCCTAAATGTTTTGCAGGACTGCAGTTTAATGTTCAGTACTTAGTGTTCCCTCTGAAAACATACATGCAATTATGCTAATTATAATGACTGTCCTATTTAGTTTCAGATATCTGTATAATACAAAGCCACATGATTAACATTCATGGTTAACAAATCTGTTGACAGATGTGCCATTTTGTCAACACACACGAGATGCTTTAAGATCCTTGAATAATTCTGCCACATCACAGTCTGTGGCCTGTGCAGTGCATGATGGGAGGTCTTTGGGATGACTTTTACATCCTGTTGTCTGCCTGCCTCAGCAGTCTAAGACCAGAATCTCTGCCAAGAACAGGACTATCAGATACTCAGTGTAAGAACACCAAAGGGCACCTCTAAGAAAAACCACGTAATCATCTGAAGCAGGACTAATCACTAAATGGGTCAGCAGAAGGGAGAGTTTGAGGATGTGCGTCACTGGCCTCAGCTTTCTTTGATTTATTCCCATATATTTACAGCCAATCTCTGGTATTAGATTTTTATTAATGATCCTCTCTATGTCTTTCTTAGATCAGTTTTTTTGCTAAGTGTTCTACACTACTGACATCTTGTGGGCAGTAGCTGTCATTACAATCTGTCTTTTGTTTCTTTGACAAAATGCCAACATGGAACAAAAACCCACAACTGACTCCATGGAGAAAAGAGTAAATCAGTCAGCTTCCAATCCTGACAGAAAGAACATTCACACAGACTTCTCTGACCTCTGATAGTAAATAAAAGAACTCAACTACACACAGCTGGTTTGACTCTAATCACACGCTTGGCTTACTCACATCCTTATCTTATGTAAAAACTGTACCGGATCACTCTTCTTTTACTAGAAGGTTTATTTAAACTGCCTCTGTCCATGGTCTATGGTCTCACAGAGGCTTTCTATTTTTATCTACAATACATGGGTTTTAACTAGTGCACTATGCAAGCTTTTAAAAGTGGAACTCGTCCTTATAGTTTGATATTCTGAGCCACAGAAACCCGCCAAAGACCCATTTGTCAGATGTATTTCTAACAGAAAGTTGGTATTTCATTTAGGTTAAATAAAAATTGTGCCTTATCTCCTAATGACAATGATAACTTTATTTGAATTGCACTTTTAATAACAAGGGTTTACAAAGTGCTTTGACACATTCAAGAGCATTACAAAGCGCCCACACAACAACAGAGCAGCCCACGGAGGAGACACTCAACCAACAACAACAGCAAAACCCCAACAGTGGAAAAAAACCCCATTAGAGATCTGACCAACATCAGAACCCAAACATCATCAGCAACATAATAAATCATAATAACTCAGGCAACGCAGGAACCCAGGCAACTTAGGCTGAGAACAAGAGGACTGAAGATGTAAGAAGAGAAGTGAGCAAAGAGATAAAACAATAACACGTGTGGAGAAGCTATAAACGAGATTAGAGAAATCCTGAAGGAAATGAGAGACAAATAAAAAGAGTGGGAGATTAGCTCTAAATTGAAATAAACAATAAAAAAAATGTAAAAACAGCTGAAGCATTTAATAGATTAAAGGCTTTATATGCGATTTTTTGATCCAGCAGATGTTGCCCTTGAGCACCAGCATGAAACCCAAACAACTCGAGCTGCATTGTTGTGTTAGCATGCTAATGCTAGCGATCTTTATTTTGCTCGTATCTTTGCACTGCATGTACATTTACATGAAATGACTGATCTAAAAACACTTACGTGACATTCAGTTAAGCAGTGAGTACAGTATGTTATTCTTCTTTTATCTAGTCCATCAATTAAACAACTTTTATACGTGAGGGGGTGAGTCGGCCGGCTGTCCCGACGATGTAAACAAACTGAAGATAGGACTCGGGGAAACTCACAGACAGTGGGACTCGGGTGTCACACCCATTGTAGACAGTCATGACTCACTGAGTTATTTTCAGAGGATGTACTTGATTT